GAAAAAGCCAAACAAAACAAATTCTAAACAACAGCAACAACATACATATAAATATAAATCTGAATTTCAGTTAAAGGTATGTGTGTGTGCTGGGAACTTCCTGTGTTAACTTGAAGAACAGTAACCATGCCATGGAAGGTAAGTGTTCTTAGAAGTCTGCAATCTTCATCTACAGTTCTACAGTCCCCAAGAGCTCAGAAACCCAAAGTGTTTACAGTTGGTAGTAACGCAAATATGAACTTTCTCATACTTAACTTGAATTTCCAGAAACTGACTTGCTCTGGGGCTGAGAGATGCCCCAGAGAAGTCCTAAATTGTATGTCAGTTGCTAATGTGCTGTTACTACGGGGAAGGAAGCTTTACCTATAATCCAAACTCAGGAGGCTGAGGCAGAAAGAGAGCCATGTGTTTGAGGCTAGCCTGGCTTTCAAAGTGAGTTCCAGTCTGGATTAGAGTGGGACCTATGTCAAAATAAAGAACAAGAAAAAAATTATGGATGCTAGTGGCATGTGCCTTTAATTCCAGCACTAGGGAAGCAGAGGCAGGTGGATCTCCATGAGTTCCAGGCCAGCCTGGTCTACATAGAATTCCAGGCTAGCCAGGGCTACAATGTGAGACTCTGTCTCAAAACCAAAATAGGAGAGAGGGGGAAAAAAGAACAAAAAGATCTTCAAGGGGACTGGAGAGATAGCCCAGTGAAACAGATGGCCTGAGAATCTCAGTTTGGATTCATAGCAGCCATGTAAAAGTCACGCATGATCATACATCTATGACTCTAGCATGGGGACTAGGGGTTGGAGATAGGTGGATCCCTGAAATTTGCTGGCCAATCAATGTAGCCAATCTGTGAGCTTTTTGGCTCCTGTCTCAGGAGATAGATAAAGAGGACAGAGTTGAAGACACTCAACACCAATTTCTGACCACACACACACACACACACACACACACACACACACACACACACACACACGCACACCATATATACATAAGCTAGGCAGGGTTTAAATGAGTTCACCACACCCAAGATAAATAATAAGTAGGTGTTTTATTAGGGAAGAACTAATAAAACACAGATAGGAAGAACACAGATAAGAGTAAATAACCACTGTGGCCTTCCTGCTCCAGAAGATGTAGTCTCTACCCTTCCAATGTTCTCTAAGACACAAGCGAGAGTGTGCTGACAGCTCCTATACCTTAAAGGGGTCACATTAAACCACACCCAAAGGGTGTGGCCACTACTACACATTCACTGGCAAGATGCTACTACAATTCCCCTTTTTGTGCAAAGAAGAAGGTTTTCTTTTCTTTCTTTTTTTTTTTTTTTTTGATTTTTTTGAGACAGGGTTTCTCTGTAGTGCTTTGGAGGTTGTTCTGGAACTCACTCTGTAGACTAGGCTGACCTCGAACTCAGAGATCCAACTGCCTCTGCCTCCTGAGTCCTGGGATTAAAGGTGTGCGCCACCAACTCCTGGCAAAGAAGAAGGTTTTAAGCCTGATAGATAAACTATATTCAGTGATAACAAATGTCAAATATATTCTAGAAGAAGGAAAGGTAAAAACATACACAAATTAAGACCTACCTACAACCAGCAAGAGCAACACTGAGCAATAGACACATTCTACATGTCCAGTTTCAGGGTAATGACATGTAACAGAGATTACTCCAATAGCTGTCCTAATTTGGAAAGTCTAAGTATTTTCTACCTAAAATAAGAAAGTACCTAGTATTTTCTACCTAAGATAAGAAAGGATATTAACTGTGACTGTCTAGTCTTCAACCTCATCAAAGACCTGAGAAGGAAAAATAACATTACTAGGGAAGGCAGGAAGTGCAAATGTGCAACTTCCTGAAGGTGCAATTGAAGACAGAAACAGCAGGCTACCTGGACAGTCACCCAAGGTCTCACAGTAATGTTGGGGCAACCAACTTTAGCTAAGGCCTAGAGTATTAGGCAGACCATCTCAGAAGGAATGAAATTGAAAGACTGTCTTACCTTGACTTGGCAAGGTTTAGCAGTCTCTTTAAGTTTATCTCCTGCTAGCCCAGTTAGGACAGTGTGTCCAAAGTCAGTGGTCAAGGTAGGGGCAGTTCTTTGCCCAAGAGGCCAGTAGCCCAAAAGAGAACAAACTCCAAATGGAGTGCCATTGGTCCCCATTATACTCCGGGGAATAATTCGGTGCTGTCAGGAGCAATTGTGTCTCATGTCAACAGAGTTCTAAATTATTAAAACATTTAAATGCCATATCCTGTAGGTCTTTGAAGTGTTTGAAGATCAAATATCTATGTTGGGGACATCTTTGAGCACATACAGAACCTGAATAACATCATTAGGTATAAGAAATATGGGTAACTATAATCTGTAATACTCAGAAACACAATTGCTCAGTGACTGAAGCTTTCCAAAATAATTTAAACAATCTTCAAATTTATGTGTATCAAGGACAATGACCTCAAAAATGTAACTATATACATATATATGTAAATCTCTAAAACTGAGGTAGAACAGAAATGTCTTTACCAGAGGTAGAACTGTATAGAGCAATAAGATAAAAATATTCTAAATTGTGGGGCTGGAGAGATGGCTCAGAGGTTAAGAGCACTGACAACTCTTCCTGAGGTCCTGAGTTCAATTCCCAGCAACCACATGGTGGCTCACAGCCATCTGTAATGAGAACTGGTGCTCTCTTCTGGCCTGAAGGCATACATGGAGTGCTGTAAACATAATCAATAAATAAAAAAACCTTTAAAAAATTCTAAATTGTATCAAAATATCTGAAGCACACGTAGAAGCATACATACATAGAATGTGATAAAGATAGTTTTATATTTGTACACAAAACATCATAGACAGAAAGAAGAGCCTACACAGTATGACAAGTATAATATACAAATTATCAAAAACAGGACTACAAAGTTAATTTTACATAAGTTTCAACATATAAAAATCTGTAACAATGTAAGTTGTCTATAGTTAATAGTTGATAACATCATTTACAATAAGATATGTGAATCTCCATCTTCACACATGCACACACATATCACACACACATTCACACTTATTTTTATTTTATGTGCATTAGTGTTTTACTATGTGTGTCAGATCCCCTGGACTGGAGTTACAGAGAGTTGTGACCTGCCTTGTGGGTTCTGGGAATTGAACCTGGGTCCTCTGGAAGATCAGCCAGTGATCTTAACCTCTGAGCCATCTCTGTGGCCCTCTTATACCCATTTTTGAAAAGACTCCCACGTGTTAGCAGCTTGAAACATTATGTTTGTTGCTTTGCAGTTTGTCGGGAACCTCAGAGCAGTGTACCTGGAAATATGGGACAGGGATTCTCTGAGATGGAAGCCAGTGTATGAGCTGGGCCTGCAATCTTTCAGAGGCCTCATTGGGGCCAGACGATTTAGTTCTAAACTGGTTCCTTCACTGAAGTGGACAAGCTGGCTGAGTCAATCGACACAGTGTGTCTCATGATTTTGCTCCAGAGGTCTTCCACCACCATTCCCCAAGGTCCTCTCAGTTACAGAGGTCAAGTACTACTTATTGTACGGGGGCCTGCCCATATGCATGGGTACTGGGAAGAGTTCCTTTTTAAAGGGTGGTTACCTGAGTTATAGGTACCTACCTAAAACCAAAGCTTTTGCACTCCAAACACATGGGGGCCAGAGTGTGTTGGAAGTTTCTGGGTTGTTTGGTGTTTATTTTGTAGTTCACCAATCGGGATCAAAAGCACTTGAGTGGTCTACCCCAGGTCAAACAGGGCACTAACAGTGAAGACTTAAAAGCACAAACCAGCTCTGCGCCAGGGTTCTTCTGGGTGGTCCCTCCCCTGCTCTTTCCCTTTATCCTGTCACTGCCTTAGTCAATCAAGATGTACCCTTCATGGCCAATTGAATGCTTTTTGTTTGTTTGTTTTGTTTTTTGAGACAGGGTTTCTCACATAGATCCATTTGTCTCTGCCTCCCGAGTGCTGGGATTAAAGCCTTGTGATACCACTGCCCGGCTAAATGCGTTGTTTTGTAAGCTGTCTTGGTTGTGACATTTTGTCACAGCAATAGAAAAGAAACAGACCACAACACCCCTACCAGGTAGGGAAGGCCGTATCTTTTCTGAACAGTTGAGTCTTGACTCTGAGGACTAAGAAGGAGCTGACCACAGGGGTGGTGCCACTCCCAGTGTTCACCCCATAAAGCAGGGTCTGGCTTTGCTTATAGTTTGACACTCCCTGTGGGTGAGTTTGTACAGGCTCAACCAGAGCTTGTCCGTGGACCACACCAGGGTAACGACAGGGTGTTGAGCACAGGAGCACAGCGCCTGCAGGATCACAAACAAGGAGAGACACATCTTCACATGAGGGGACCCCCATAAGACCTTAGCAAGGACCCTTTGAAAGATCATTACTGCGGGGAGTGGGGGAGGAGGCTCTACAAGAGGGAAGACAGCGTTTGTATGGAAGCTGTGGGAAGGAAAGGGTCAGTGCCCGCCTGTCTTCTGCTCTAAGAACAGCTTCTAGCACCAAGACCGTCCTAACTCGAATTTAGGGATACACTGGGGTCTGGTGGCTGGCTCTGGGACCCAGCAAGCATCCTAGAAGTCCTCTCTGAGCTCAGTGTCCCTACGTGACTAAATGCAAACCAAGTCCCTGGAGAGGAAGGAGCCCAGCCAATGAAACCTGAGTACACCCACGTCCAGTGTTTGAAGTCATTTGATTTATTTGCTTTTCTTTGGCAGCTGTAGCAGAGAAAACCGAACCCCAAACCTGGACGCAAACTGGGTCTGACTCCGGGAAAATTCCTCAGACGGAGGACATAGGGTCGCCGCGATGAGCCTAGTACTGTGGGCTGGGATAGCCGCCTTAGAAGCGAGCCTCAAGACAGGGTTAGGATCCAGCAGTGGGAGGGGGCGGTGCCAGCTGTGGGCGGGGGCGGAGTCAGACTCGCGGCAGTGGGCGAGGCGGAGCCAACTGTGGGTGGGGGCGGATTAGGCTCCAGGGAGTGGGCGGGGCGAGACGGGAAAAGTTCCGGGAAGGCCGGTTGTCGCTCCCGCTACGCGCAGAAGTTCGAGGTGCCCGGGTCCCCAAGAAGGTCCACAGCCATGTCGTCTGGGGACGCGAGGTCTGGCAGACAGAACGGCGCCCCGCGCGCGGCCGCCGCGCTCTGTAGCCTGTACCACGAGGCCGGCCAGCAGCTGCAGCGCCTGCAGGACCAGCTGGCCGCGCGCGACGCCCTTATCGCGAGCCTCCGCACCCGCCTGGCGGCCCTGGAAGGGGACACGGCGCCGTCGCTCGTGGACGCGCTTCTGGATCAGGTGGAGCGCTTCCGTGAGCAGCTGCGGCGGCAGGAGGAAGGAGCCACCGAGACGCAACTGCGCCAGGTTCGGAGCGGGCGCTGCTGCCCCGGGCGGCCTCGGGAGCTTGTTGTTGTTGGGAGCGTGGCTCGAGTCCCGTCCCGATGGTCGCGCGGATCTGAGGGTGCGAGGGTATGAGGCGTGTGGTGCGGGTCTGAAGAGCGTGAGGTCCAGAGGCATGGGCGTCTAAGGGGTGCGCGGGGGTTCTGAAGGGAGCTGGGTTGTGAGGGGCTCGAGGTCCTGAGGCTCAGCGGTATGAGGCACAGGGAACCCTGAGGGGTTGGGGTCTGAAGGGCGAGACTCTGCGGAGTCTAGGGTCCTGAGCCCTTGGGGATTCATTTAACGCACAGAGTTGAGCAGGTTGTCTCTGGGACACAGGGTTCTGGTGAGCACCAGGGTGTTAGGGATGCGGACGCTGGAAAAGTATCCGGTCCTCAGGGGCCCAGGTTATGAACAGTTCTGAGGGACATGTAATGGAAGTAAGTTTGGGGGCGACCCCCTGGGACTCTCGATTTTGAGGGGCCTTGTTGAAGGAAACTTGCTCGTGAAGTTCGGTGTGTCAGATCTGAGGAGCAGGAGGTTATCCTGGAATGCAGGCTTCTGTGGAGCGTGAGGTACTGGGGTATTCTTGGACACATAGTTCTGTTGGTAGAGTGAGCTTCTCCCACCTGTGCTCTAGACCCCAAAGGGGTGTGTAGCTGTTTTCATCACAGCTCTGTTGCTTTCAAGAGACATCATGACCAAAGCAACTCTTTTCAAAGAAAGTATTCATTGGGGGCTTGATTACAGCTGCAGAGGGGTTATTATCATGGCGGGGAGTATGGCAGCTGGAAAGCAGGCCTGGTGCTGGAGTAGGAGCTGAGAGCCACATTCTGATCTCCAGGTAGAGAGAGACAATGGGCCTGGTGTGGGCTTTTGAAACATGAAAGCCCATCCCCAGTGACACAGTTTCTCCAACAAAGTCACACCTTCTAATCCTTTCAAACAGTGCTACTCCCTGCTGACTAAGCATTCAAATACATGAGCCTATGGGGGCCATTCTTGTTCACACCACCACAGTAGGGCACTAGGTTTGAAGGAGATGCAGTTCTGAGGGGGGCTGATGTTCGGGGTTCAGAGGATGCAGGGTTTAAAGGGACACTATAGGTTCTGAAGGACATGGTGAGACATGGAGTCTAGGGAGTCTCAAGGACACATGGGCATTGCTTTTTGAGAATGTGTGTAGGTTCCAGTGTGTGTGTGTGTGTGTGTGTGTGTGTGTGTGTGTGTGTGTGTGTGTTGAGTTGAGTTGTGGGAGTGCAGGTTTTGTGTATTGTGTTCTGTGTTTGGGAGGTCTTCTTAGAATGTGGGTTTCAGAACCTTGTGTGGGGTGCCAGAGACCCGGGAGATGCAAGAGTTCAAGGGATGGAGCTCTGAGAGAGAAGACCCGTGTCTTTGATTGTTGACTTTTAGTACTGGAAAAAGTGTCAGGAAGAGCCTGCCAAGTGTCTGATAAACTAAATTCTGTGGTTCTCCTTGTCATTTGGTTTCTGTGAGATACCATAAGCACACAAAACTGAAACAAGGGAAATGTTTTCCTTATAAATGGGATTTGTAAATCTGACACCTTCTCCACATTTGGATGAATACTGGCATGTTACTGCATTTGGTTCATGACTATCCTGGTTTTCCTAGGAAAGAAAGTAAGCCGTAAGGAGAGTAGCTGGCAAAAGATAATGTTTGTTTCCAAGATTTCACCCCCACAGCTGGATTTCTTTTTCTTTCTCCCATTCCTACCCCCTTTGGTGTTAGGGATTGACTTAGAGCCTCACACATTCTTGTCAAGTACTCTACCATTTAGCTGCATTTCCAGTTCTCTTTTTACTTTTTATTTTGAGACCTGGTCTCACTAAGTTACCCAATCTGACTTTAAAATCACTGTGAATCCCAGGTGGGCCTTGACTTTGGATCCTCCTGCTTTAGTCTCCCAAGTAGACTTTGCCACCTGTCCTGTTCACAGCAAAATTTAAGAGGGAAAAAATGCATTCTTTTTTCTGATGGTAGAATTCAGAACACCTGAAAAATAAAGGCAAGAATAAAATAATCCACATGCTTTTTGCTTGCCTCCCACCAGTTCTTCCTTTGCAAAGACATATTTATGTTCCTACTATTGTTGAGTTGACCCTTATTATACAGACTTACTTTCTATTGCGTTGTCATTGTTTTCTATCTGTATTATTTAAAGCACCGAGAGCAACCAGATGTCTCCCCACTCCACTTCTCCCTCTTTCTGGAAGGAGAGTTGTAAAATAGAGCAGAAGGGAAATGTAGAGTTCACCTGGTCTGTGCCACTAATTTGGTGTTGTGCACATCAGGAGCCACAGGTGAGTACAGAGTGGAGCCCTGAAGACATCCCAGAATGTGTCACAGAGTACCAGTGGGGACAGTTAGGGTAAAGGAGCTCCCCATAATCAGAGCAGAACTGCATTTGCAGCCTGGTGGCTATTTGTGTTCAGTGCAGATGCACCCACAGGAAGCTCTCTAACGGACCAGACAGAACCAGTCTGTGGTCCCAGTGTTACTGGTCCTTTATCCTCTGACATGTAGGTTTTGTACAGAGATTTTAAGAATTATTTGCAATTTTATTTAGGAAATTTTGTTAATGTTGTGGCGACTTTAAATGTTACAAAACTATTGCATGGCTTCTTAGTTTGCCAAAACAAATTGACTAAATGTGTTAGCAGTAGATATATGTATCAAAAATTACCCTGTTAAAATAACCCTGAACAATCTGGGCAGTGGGGGCTCAATGGTGGCGCACACCTTTAACCCCAGCACTCAGGAGGCACAGACAGGTGGATCTCTGTGAGTTTGAGGCCAGCCTGGTCTACGGAGTGAGTTCCAGGACAGTCACACAGAGAAGCTCGTCTCAAAAACAAACAACCAAACAACAACAACAACAAAACAACCAAAACAAAACAATCCTGTACATTTTCATTTCAGAGTTGTTGTTTTCTATGATGTAGCTTCTTTGGTCATGTGGTTTGCAGAGGTATGCATAAGATAAGGCTAATGTAACTAATATAATACATTAATGTAATACATTCTATGACTGTGTACTAGAAACTGTTTTAGTTACTTTTCTGTGAAGAGATACCAAGGCAACTTATAAAAGAAAGAATTTAATTGAGGTTTTGCTTACAGTTTCAAGGGTGAGTCCATAACCATCAGGCGGGGAGACAGGCAGCAGGCAGGCATGGTGCTGAGCAGTAGCTACTGAGACCTACATCTGATCCACAGGCAGGTAACAGAGAAAGAGACTGGGCTTGGTGAAGGCCCCTCCCCCAGTGACTGGTACACCTTTCCAACAAGGCTACACCTCCCATTCCTTCCCAAAACAATTTCCCCAATGAGGGACCAAGTATTCAAATATCTGAGCCTATGCGGGCCATTGTCGTTCAAACCACAGTAACTAATGTAATACACTCTATGGTGACAGATACGTGTGAGCACAATTTTGGCAAATGTCAAAGAGACTATGTGCTTGTCAAATCAATGCAAATGCAGTAGCATTTTCACATTTATTATTATTTTTTCCCACCTCTTTTTTTTTTTCTTGTTTTTTGAGACAGGGTTTCTCTGTGGCTTTGGAGGCTGTCCTGGAACTAGCTCTTATAGACCAGGCTGGTCCTGAACTCACAGAGATCTGTCTGCCTCTGCCTCCTGAGTGCTGGGATCAAAGGTGTGCACTGTCAATGCCTGGTTATTTTTACTTACCTCTTATTGTTATTAAATTCTACTAGTGAATACAACATTGTTATGCTTTAAATCATTTGTTCTTCATCTGTAACAAAGGGAAATAACTGCAGCTGGCCTTAATTTTAATGTGGGTCTAGAAAGATGCTCAGCAATTAAGAGTACATACAGCTCTTGCAGAGGACTGGATCACAGCATCAAGAGGGTCACAAGTGCCTGTAACTCAAGCTCCAAGGGATTATTTTTAAACATCCTCTTCTGGCCTCCAAAGTAATTTGAATGCACACATACATACTCACATACAGATACATAAAATAAAATAAAAAGCTGCTCTGGGGCCAGGCGGTGGTGGCACACACCTTTGATCCCAGCACTTGGGAGGCAGAGGCAGGTGGATCTCTGTGAGTTGGTGACCAGCTTGGTCTACAAGAGCTAGTTCCAAGACAGCCTCCAAAGCCACAGAGAAAGCCTGTCTTGAACTCCCCCCCTCCCCGAAAACAAAGCTGCTCTGGGCACTTGGGAGGGAGAGGCAGGTGGATCTCTCTGAGTTTGAGGCTAGGTCTACTTGAAAAACAAACAAATAAATATAAAAAGCTGGGCATGGTGGTGTATGTCTTTAATCTAGCACCCCCACAGCAGAGGCAGGTGGATCTCTCTGAGTTTGAGGCAAACCTGATCTATACATAGTGAGTTCTAGCCAGAGCTTCATAGTGAGACACTGTCTCAAAAAACCAAAATAGAGTTCCAGGATAGCCAAGGCTACACAGTGAAACCCTCTGTCTTGAAAAATTAGCACCCCCCAAAACAAGCCAAAATAAATGAATAGATAAAGTCTAAAAGTAGGAAATAGGGTTGACAAGATGGCCCAACAGGTAAAGGCAGTTGACATCAAGCCTGAACTTGATCCCAGAACTTGTGTAGTAGGAGAGAATAGAGTCCTGCAAGTTGACCTCCACATTTATGCTAAGTCATAGTCATACAGGCTTTTTTGTGCACGTTCTCTCTCTCTCTCTCTCTCTCTCTCTCTCTCTCTCTCTCTCTCTCTCCCTCCCTCCCTCCCTCGCTCCCTCTATTTGTCTCTCACAAACAAATTAATTAATAAATAAACACAATTCTTTTTATTTTTTACTTATTGTTTTTTGAGACAGGGTTTCTCTGTATTGTTTTAGAACCTGTCCTGGAACTCGCTCTGTATACCAGGCTGGCCTCGAACTCACAGAGATCCACCTGCCTCTGCCTTTCGAGTGCTTGGATTAAAGGAGTGCACCTCCTTCTCCACCACCACTACCAGGCATAAACACAATTCTTAAAGAAAAAAAAAATCAGAAATAGTAATGTGAAACAAATGATTAGTTATAAGTATCTTTCACTAAAGAAATGGTTAACATAATTGTTTATCCATATGTAGTAAAATATATTGTGATTATAGGCAACTGATTTAACAAGATTGTATACAAATTAAGATTTCCAAGGGAGCATGCTTTATACTTCCTAGAAAGCAAAGACAGTGGCAAAAAAGTCTTTCAGGCAAATGGCAAGGGACAGGAGACTACAGGTAATCAAAATCTGCACAGAATTAGCAACATCGAACAACATACAGCTTCTATAATATTTGCCTTGAGTTTTGATCCAGAAGAATTCTAATGGAGAAGCAGGGTAATGCATTGTATGCCAAAAGTTCCAGCCACTCGGGAAGCTGAGGCAGGAGGGTCACAATTTTGAGGTTAGCTTGGATTACATAACAAGACTTTGTATTAAAAAAAAAATTGAATCCCAGGCATCAGCCTGGGAATCCAGCATGGGACTGAGCAAGACCCCCTGAATCTGGGTGTCAGTGAAGAGGCCTAGGGAATCTATTGAGCCTTGGGCAGCAGATCAGTACCCATCCCAAGTATACACACGGACTTTGGACTCCCATAGAACAATGTGAGGTGCACTCTCACCCTGAACTCTTGGGGAAGGGTCTAGGCCCTGCCCTATATGAAATGACATACTATGGACACCCCCATGGAGGGCCTCACCCTCCCTGGGGGAATGAGGGGATAACGGGGGGGGGGGAGGGAAAGGGAGAGGGACCTGGAACTGACTTGTGAAGCAACCTTGTTTCTTATCTAAATTTAAACTGGAAAATAAAATAAAAACAAAAAAAAAAAAAGAAAAGAAAAGAAATCCAATGGAGGTCAAAGCCAGGATAAATTTTTCAAGAAGGAATTACCACAAAGGTCTCTTCCTAAAATCCTAACATCAAAGAAAACCGTACAGCTGTGTAAACCTTTAGCAGTTAAAATGCAATGAAAAAAATATTTTTTTTTCTTGTGATATCTGGGATTTCTTCACTCAGTCCAAAGGTTGGTTTTCCTGGATCCCCTTTCTATTATATGTGACAGAAAACTTTTTAAACATTCCAGATGTGTCCTAGAATGTACACAGTCCATGTGCAAAAACTGCATCTTGAATGATCCAAATGTGCCAGTGGAATGTTTTAGACCATAAGCAACTGTGAAGCTGTTTTAAATGTCCTATAACAGCTAAGACTATTATTGGTTCTGAGCTAGGGTGGTGGCACACCCATTTAACCCCAACACTTAGTATGCTGAGGCAGAAGGAGATGAGTGTGAGGCCAGACTGAGCTACGTTGCAAGGCAATCTCAAATACACACCCCCACACACACATGAAGGAGCAAGATATTGATGGTTTCTGTGGATACAAAATTGATAGAAAAAATTAAACTGAAAATGAACAGCATATGTTTGTTGAAGGTGATTTGAAGAGGGCCCGGAAGAGTAGAAAATGTTTCTAGTGCTACGAGGTCAGGGGGCCACATCTGGTAATGGCCTTGTCAGGATCGCAAATTGGCCAGGGGAGTGCATATACAAGGAATGTGTCTATAATTTTTAATTTTTTTAAAAAAGATTTTCACTTAAAAAAAAAGATTTACTTTATTTCATATATATTTGAGTGTTTGCATGCATGTATGTGCACCATGTGATTGCTTGGTGCCCATAAAGTCCAGAAGAGGGCATCAGATTCCATGGAGCAAGAGTTACAGATGGTTGTGAGCCATCTGATGCGGGTGCTGGGAACTAAACCTGGGTCCTCTGCAAGAGCAGCAAGTGCTCTTAACCACTGAGCCATCTCTCCAGCCTGATATGTATGAATGTGTTCATCTGTGTGTCATGTGAGTGTCAGTGCTGGTGAAGTTCAGAGTAGAGTTCAGATTGCCTGGAGCTGGAGTTACAGGTTCCTGTGAGCTACACCACGTGGATGCTGGGAACTGAACTCGTCTTCTGTAAGAGCAGTATGTGCTCTTAACTGCAGAGCCATGTCTCTAGCCCCTGTAATTTTTAATGTTTAAGGATCATTTTGATGACTTAGTAGTTCATGAAAGTGAATGGTTTTTGCTTCCCCATCAGTCAGTTTTGTAAGGGGAGGGTGTTCTAGTCATGGGAGAACAGAGAGATGTATTACTTCTGTCACCAGACCCCCCCTCACCCCCAGAGGCCTTTGTTCATTGAAGTAACACGGCAGGTTTAAAACCACAGAAGCAGCTGGACAGTAAAGGACATGCCTTTTATCCCCATCCCCTGAAAGGCAGAGGCAGATGGATCTCTGAGAGTTCTGTCTAAAAAACACATAAACAACTACAGTAGAAAGCAAACAGTCTATTAGATTGCTTTCATTGATGGCCAAATCAACCATCTCTAGAAACAGGGATGCTAGACCAGAAGGCACTGAGGGCTTCCACAGAGGAAACTGAAGATTGGGGGTGTGGAGGAACCAAGAGTAGCCAGTGTGTCTGGATGAGGCTGTAGTTGTCCTCACAGTATCTAGAGTGGGACCTGGGAGTTTACCCCATCTGCAACTTGAGGCCTGGGTGGATGACTTTTCACACTTCTTTCAGATAAGATTTTCTGGTTAATGGTGCTATTTACCACGTGGCCTGTCACAATATAACTGTGTGCTGTTATCCTGGAGACTGGCCTCACAGCCCTGCCTGATCCTGGCACATCAGATTTTCTTTCCTTTCATTTCCCTCTACCTGTTTTGCTACTGCATAGAGCAGTGGTTCTCAACCCATGGGTCGTAACCCCTTTGACAAACCTTTATTTCCAAAAATGTTTACATGACGATTCATAACAGTAGCAAAATTATAGTTTTCAAGTAGCAATGAAGATAATTTTATGATTGGGGGTCACCACAGCATGAGGAATGTTGAGAACCACTGGTATGGGATGCAAGACTTTGTCTCAAAACAATCAACAAACAAAATACCAAACAGTACCATTTTTATGATTCAAAAAATCCAGGGGCTGGTGAGACAACAGCTCAGTGGGCAAGGCAAAAGCACTTCTGTGCAATCCCTGTTTGACCCCTGGAGCCCAGGGTGGTGGGAAAGAACCAACTCCCGAAAGTTGTCCTCTGATTTCTATGTGTGTGCCACAGCACGTATACACTCTCATACACCATACACACATAAAGAGAGAGTAATAACTCAAGTTTGTCTTTCTCCCTCATTCTCTCTTCTCTATTGAGCCTAGAGTCCTTCTCCTACTTATTCTCTCTTAACCACCAGCTCTGCCTGTCCCTCTATGCCTAACTATTGGCCATTCACCTTTTTATTAGACCAATATCAGGTGCCTTAGGCAGGCAAAGCAACACATCTTTACATCATTAAACAAATGCAACATGAACAAATATGACACATCTTTACATAGTTAAAGTAATATTCTACAACAGTTAACTGTATTATTATCTCAAAAGCCTGCCTTCAGGGTGTTAGCTAGTGATACATTATCCTTGCTAGATTTTCCTTTGTTTTATCATATTTGCTAACCCTACCACTCCATGTAGCCCAGACTAGCCTCAAAGTTGTTATATAGTTGAGGATGACATTGAACTACTTCTATACCTACCTCTACTTCCCAAGTGCTGGGATTAGAAGTGTGTCTTATCGTGCCTGGCTTTTAACATTTGCTTTTTAGCATTTTTTCATTTAATCAAGCTGTGCTTTAATTTTTCAACTATTGAACCTGCCTGTCTTCCTTTACCATTTTTACATAGGCTCTCTCTGGCTGGCCTCAAATTCTTGATCCTCCTGACTCAGCCTACCCACTGCTGAGATTATAGGCATGTGTCACCATACCAGTCTAAACTGTGCTTTGAAATTATTTTCCATTTAGGAAGTTGAGAGACTAACTGAGCGACTGGAAGAAAAAGAGAGGGAGATGCAGCAGCTGATGAGCCAGCCTCAGCATGAGCGAGAGAAGGAAGTTGTCTTGCTTCGGAGAAGTGTGGCAGAGAAGGAACAAGCCAGGGCTGCCAGTGACATTCTGTGCCGCTCCTTGGCTGATGAGACCCACCAACTGCGCAGAACATTGGCTGCCACTGCCCACATGTGCCAGCATCTGGCCAAATGTCTGGATGAACGACAGCACGCACAGGGAGATGTTGGGGAGAGAAGCCCGGATGAGGTAGGCAGTGTAACTAAGCCAAATGAAGACTCTGGTGTGGCAAGAGTCATTGCCTGTTATGCTCTAAGACTCCTGTGCTCACTAAAGTCTAGGGGTGCCACAGAACCCGTTCTGCTCTCACTGAGGAGAATAAGCTTGCTTATCCAGAAGATCTGATGGAACATGTGACAGGAAAGCTGAGTGGCCTGCCTCTCAACTCCCAGCATTGTCTGTAGCTGATCCTGCATGCATGCGGGGATGGCACTTTGGTCTTTTCTGCCATTGAGGATAGGAAGGAAGAGCTGGGGATAGAGGGACTGTCCAGAGGAAGTGTTTTCACATGTATATTTGACAAATAAACTGAGGCAGATCTAGGTGATATTGCTAAGGAGGAGCAAGGCCCCCACATGCCACAGGTCTAAAGCTGCTGAAGATCCATAAGCTCCAGCCTTTTGCAGACTCCATGCATTTGAGTGGTAAGAGTTGATCCAGCCACAATCCTCATGAAGAGCCGGACTTGTGTTGCCAGCAACATGGCCTGCTATAAGCTAGGAGACCTGCCACCCTCAGGGCTAGTTTCTTCATTATCATGACATAGAACATCTTCATGCCTCAAAAGTATGAACCCCGTGTAGACATATGAGGGGGACAGCAGATGGTGATAGAGACGCCAGAAGGGTCAGGCTAAAATAGGGACCCAAGAGGAACCCTCTGTGCCTCCAGGCCAGGATAGTTGGTGCAGGAGAGGAGCATGACCAAGGTTTTGGCATTGGGCATCCATAAGGTGGTCATGGAGAAGAGATCTATCTGGAAAACCAGAGGGCTTCTGGACAGGTAAGGGATGGGACCAAGACTCAATATAAGCTAGGTACTGGGCATGGTACTTTATTTCCTGCTTCCAGGTAGTGTTGATCTGTGTGGAGCTAACAGGGAAAAAGGTACATATGGCATACCTTGCCTCAGTTATCAGTGGGTATATTTGTGACTTTTGTGTTACTATGACTACAGTACCAAGAGATACAACTTCAGGGAGGGTTTCAGTCTAACATGGTGGGGATGGCATGGCCAAATTCATGGTAATGGGAACTTGTGACAGATAATCCTCACACCATAGCAGACCAGGCATCACACAGAGACATAGAGACAGACACAGGCAGACAGACAGACAGACAGACACACACACACACACAGAAAGACATGACAAAGAAACAGAGAGTCAATGAGACACTGGAACTAGGGGCAGGATATCAGCTTCAAAGACTTATCCTTAGTAACTTCTTCTGACTGCTAGGCTACACTTACTAAAATTTCTATAGCCTCTACAAATGGCATCATCAGCTGGGGATCAAGCTTTCAAACTATGAGCCTATGGGGAATATTTCTGATTCAGAATATAACAGTGGACAAGGCTGAGTCTACATCTCATGTATACTGTACCACACAGAGCCTCTAGGTCACATCCTTTTCTAGGAAATTCACTGAGGCTACAGCAGTGTTCATGAGACTGTATGTGTTCTGAGGAAAGGGGACATACAGCTACCAGCAGCTTCTCTAATGTATAGAGAAACTTGGTCAAGAATCATCTGTCTCGACTTTAGAGATCCCCCCAAGGAGGGCCTCACCCTCCCTGAGGAATGATGTGGGGACTGGGTGGAGGGACAAGGGAGGAGGGGTGGGAGAGTGAGCTGGGATTGACATGTGAAGCATTCATGTTTCTTTTTTTTTTTTTTTTTTTTTTTTGGTTTTTAGAGACAGGGTTTCTCTGTGGCTTTGGAGGCTGTCCTGGAACTCGCTTGGTAGTCCAGGCTGGTCTCGAACTCACAGAGATCCGCCTGCCTCTGCCTCCCGAGTGCTGGGATTAAAGGCGTGCGCCACCAACGCCCGGCGCATTCATGTTTCTAATTTAAATAAAAACATTACAAAGAAGAAACAAACAAAAGAATCATCTGTCTTAGTTGGATGTCACAAAAAGATCATCCAGGAAGGCAAGAAGGACCACAGTGGTATTCATTGCTGGATAGGAGGAAGTGGGTGCTCTTGTCCAAGTTTGTATCACTCTTGAAGAAGCCTCACACTGTGATCAGCCTGAGGTGGGTGCTGAATTATAGCAGACAGGCACCTCATGTCTCTTAAGTCAGTATCACTTCTCAGCCCTGAACTTGGCTGAATCATCTGGGGCTTCCCAGTAGGCTGGGTTAGGACATGAACTTCCTGTCATTCAAGGGGAATTCTTAAAACTAATGTCAGTGATTTACAGTCCTCTGTACTGTTCAGTGTCTGGAATTTCTGGGGTACAGAGTATGCCCCAGAAAAGTTTCGTGAGATTTTACAGCTGGGGCAGCCAGCTGCTATTAGGGGTTGGTTTGGGGTGTGACTTCTGTGAATGAATGACCCTGATTCTGGCCCTGTGTGAAGCACATTAGGTTGCCTCATCCAGATTAGTTTGCTCATCTAGAGGCAGGATTTCCGTCTTGATGAGAGAAGGAGGTAAGACTGATCTGTGGCCAGACCCAAACCAGGGACCTGGAAAGCCTCCTGGATGCTGGGGTGTAGTATGTCTCTGTTAAAGAGTAAAATTCTGTTCCTGCCCACTCTATTGCCTGTGATGTTAAACAAGCTCTGGCATTGTGAAGGTTTTGTTACAGCTGGTATACTTATTCCTTTAGACTCGATGACAACAGAATGTTTAGCTCATGTTGGTAGGTAGGAAGGCACAAGGACAGTATCAACAGTGATACACCTAGAGACTCTGCCAAGGACGTCTCCTGGCCTCCCTCAGTTGGGAGTGGGTCTGGGAGGAGCTGAACTTTCAAAGTCCTTCTTTGTATCTGTTTTACTTCTCCATCAAGTGAAGAGTCACCACAACTGAAGAGTCACCACCTCCTACGCTGCAGCTGCAGTGACGGTCTGTGGCCTCAGCCTATGGCTCTAACTTCTCCTTTTCTGTATGTGATATAGAATGACATGGCTTCTCTTTGTCTCTTTATGTAGCTAGGGCATACAAGCAGCAATGCTTCTGACAAGAGTGTTGTTGAGAAGTTACAGGAAGAAAATCGACTATTAAAACAAAAGGTGACTCATGTGAGTATCTAACATCCCATTGAGGAGGAAAATCAACCCTGACAAATGGCAAAAGGTTTTTCTTTAGCTGGTGCATAGAGGTGGCATTTGCCCCCTGGCTGTTTTAACTTGATACACAGGGTCTCCAAAGACCTGATCTTTCTGCAACAGAGGATGTACAGATCCTGACTTTCTCTATCCTCCCAGATTAACTAGTCAATAAAGGAAGTGTAAGAATTACCATCAAGAAGTAATTTTGACTGTGTGTGTTGTGTGTGAATGTGTTTGTACTTGCACGTGGAGGCTACAAGTTGACATCAGGCAATTGCACTCTACCATATTTTGCAACAGGGTCTCTTGCTGAATCTGGTGCATACAGATTTGGCTCCGCTGGCTGGCTGGCCAGTGAGCTCTGGGGATCCACCTGTCTCATCATCCCCAGCACTGGGATTACAGTCATGAGCATCATACACGGGTGCTGGCACTCTGCAGGTCTTCATGCTTGCTCAGCAAGTCCTTGACTGGCTGAGCCACTGCCCCAGTAGTTTTGTTGGATTTCCTTTTCTTACTCGGCCTCTGGGAAGTAGCTTTTAAGGCAAGAAAATGACACTGAGTTCATATCTGTTTAAGACACTTAATATGAATGTTACTATGATATATCAGGATTCTCTACACAAAGGAAAGGGAAAGAGAGGCAGTTTCGTAAATTATTGCTGATAATCACAGTTCCATATTGGCTTAAGCAAGCGCATGTCTTCTGTCTTGTCAGGTAGAGGACCTCAATGCTAAGTGGCAGCGCTACGACGCCAGTAGGGATGAATATGTGAAGGGGTTACACGCACAGCTGAAGAGGCGGCAAGTCCCTCATGAGCCCGAGCTGATGAAGAAGGAGATTTCTAGGCTTAACAGACAGTTGGAGGAGAAAATAAATGACTGTGCCGAAGCAAAACAGGAGCTGGCAACCGTGAAGATGGCCCGGGACACTGCGCTGGAGCGAGTGCAGATGCTGGAGCAGCAGGTGTCCTCAGATGTTTGCCCACAACACAGGCAGTGGCCATGGTCTTGGGATAGCCTAGGCTAAAGACTTGTTAACACTGGTTGGGGTACAGCATGGAGTACTGGGAGAATCAAGGTCAGGATTTTCTCCTTCCTTGAATAGAAATGAGCATTCTGTCTTTTCTCAGATTCTTGCTTACAAGGATGACTTCAAATCAGAAAGGGCAGATCGGGAACGAGCTCATAGTAGGATTCAAGAACTGGAAGAAAAGGTCATGTCCTTGATGTCCCAAGCATCTCAGAGACAGGTAAGAGCACAAGAGACTTTGTCCATTAGAATTAGTAATTTTGAACCACTTTGTCTGCAAATATGTTCTAGCTGACAATACTGTTAGTAATAGGCCCTTCTGCACTCTGTGCAGAGTAATATCTCCTGGGTCTATGGTATGGCCATAGAAAACCTTTTACAGAGCCTCTTTGTGGTACTGTATTTAGCTGTGGAGGTTGCCATGGTGGCCTATGTTTGTCAAGGCTAGTTGTCTAGGGCCTTTCCTTTCTCCCTGCTTATTGTTGTTATGCAACCTAAGTATATCCCAGGCCCCAGGTGCTTTATGGGCAGTTCTGTGTCTGTCCTCTTGTGAGGCAGACCCTAGTTACTATGTTGCAGAGGTGTGACACAGGCCCCAAGCACTAAACGGTTGATTCTCTAGGATAGCCAGTGGACCTGTAGCCACCTTTGATTTTAGTGCTGGTGTTATGTTGTCAGTGGAAATCTCTCAAGCATGAAAGCTGAACATGCGTGTGCCTTTTACTTTCCTCCCTGGTTAGACTCATGCTCTGCAAATTCCCAGGGAAGGTTTGTTGCCTTAGTGTCCATACATCTGTCCTGGGAAAAACACTTGGCTCCCCTCAGAGAACTTCTTGTCCTGACATAGCTTGGATAAGAGAGACACCTCTGGAAATCAGTAGGCTGAGAAGACAGAACCGACTTTGAAACTGTTACCAAAAAGATGAGAGGAACTGGGACTCTGTGAAGGCTGCCCACACTGTTCTGAGCGACTGCCTCCTTTCCTCTGCACCAGGGGCATAGGATTCTGGTAGATATCTTTCTTCAGTTCCCTTGAGCTAAATTCACATCAGGGGGCTGACTACAAGCACTACTTCTGATGGAGGGATTTTGTTGGGAACCTGTGCTTCTCATAAGTCCACAGGCCAACAGGGTGGTACCAGAGGGCTTCAGCAGTCATAGAAGACCCTTCCTAGAGCCTTTGCTCTAGGACCCTTGATGTCTTATAATGGAGTGTGGGTGTTTCCCCATTCCCTGTTCTAGATCTTGTTTTTCAGGGTGGTGAGGCCATAGGAGGCTTTTCTCCTAAAGCATCAGGACTGTAGGCACAGGACAGAATCCTCTATGTCCCATGACAGGAATGGGGTATTTTTTGACTGTAGGTTCACTGGCTCCTTTGTGTTTTAGACTGCAAGGTCATTAAAGGTGTAGTCACGATGGCCTTTCAGGCAGCCTTCCAGGGATATGCCAGGGGAGTGACCATACCAGTTCTAGGCCTGCCAAGCCAGGTTCTCCGATGGATTTCTGTTCAGACCCAAGGGCTAGATTTCTGGTGGGGACCAGGGCCTTTGCATTAGTTGTGGCCCCTTAAGCACCCATTGTTGCTCTACCCGAGGGGGACAAACACATGACAGTGGTTCTTAAGTGTGAGTGATAAGACATTGTTCCTCTGAGAAAAATCCAAATTCAAATGTTATTTTATTTTTTTTGGTTTTATGAGACAGGGTTTCTCTGTTTTTGGAGGCTATCGGTCCAGCCTGGCCTCGAACTCACAGAAATCTGCCTGCCTCTGCCTCCCGAGTGCTGGGATTAAAGGCATGCGCCACCAACGCCTGGCCAAATTCAAATGTAAAGTAAAAACAAGACCAGGTACTAGAGTAAAGCTCCCATACTTCCTTTGTGAATATCCTAAGGCTGAGGGCTCTAATCAGGCCTTCACCTAATGGATGGGGAGAAACCTCTACTCAAGCTGGTTCTTTCACAAAATGGCCAAGTACCTATAGGATCTCTTCAGTTATTCACTCAGTACTTTTGTCTAGACAGCAAGAAGCAGCAGGATTTGAGAAATGAGGTCTTCCAATTTAAGCTTTTAGAAACTCCAGAGAGTAAAGTAAAATACTTGATTCTTTTATTATTTTTCCCCTGAGACAGGGTTTCTCTGTGATGCCCTGCTTGTCCTAGAACTCACTTTGTAGATCAGGGTGGCCACAAACTCAGAGATCTGCTTGCCTCTGCCTCCTGAGTGCTGGGGTTAAAGGTGTGCACCACCATTGCTCAGCTAATACCTTCATTCCTGACCTTTGTTCCACACTTCATGGAGAAACTCTTGCGGTATAGACTGAGATGGAAGTGAGGTATTGTGGTATAGCAAGAAGCGAGGCAATGGGATTTAAGTTCTACTCTGAGATGTAGTGTCTCTAGTTGTTAGAACCTAGGGTCAGGCTTTATGACTTTTAGCATTGCCTGTAGTAAACTGACCTTTAATTTCTCAGCAGGACTTCCGGGAGCCAGGACCCTGTCGGAATCATTCGGGGAACAAAACTGCCAAGTACTTAGAGATGGATGCACTGGAGCATGTAGCACCTAGTGGCTGGAAGCCCGGGTCTGGGTCCCAACAGATGGAACTTCCTGAGGGTGGGCATGTTTATACTGCCCATAGAGGTCAGGGTGACCTTCAGTGCCCGCACTGCCTGCGGTGCTTCAGTGATGAACAAGGCGAGGCATTCCTCAGGCACCTGTCCGAGTGCTGCCAATGAGCCAGAGCCACCATGCCTATTGCAGCCCCTGACTAGCATAACTGCTCTAAGGGATTGGGTAGGTGTCCTTAGACTTAGTCCTCAACTCAGTATGTTGCATTCTAGTGGGATCTATGGTTACATAAGGGCAGGGGCACTGATAGGTCTTTTTTTTTTTTTTTTTTGGCTTGGCCGTGGATCAGATGGAACTATTGGCAGATCAGAGGGAAGAGATGGGATATCAGGGGCATCAGGTGGAGTTTGTACCCTAGCTGTCAATTCAAAGCTGCAAACTATCTGGTATGGGATTACCCAGAGGCCTGCTTGCACCTAGAGTTGTGTTGCTTTGCTGGAAGAAGCTGCTGTGGGAGCAGGGTGTCCACTCCAAGGTGGGAGTTCTGTCCTGTTGTGTAGTGAGGTGTCTCACTCCCAGACTGGTCTGTGCTGTACTAGTTGCAAGTTCACTAGGGTCTTCCCAGACATAACAGTCACACCGATGCACCCAGTACCATCACCATGCAATAACACCTATATTTCCAGAAGTGAAGCACCTTTATTTCCTAATCATTTATTTTTATAATAAATGGACTTACTTGCTGGGCAGTGGTGGCACACACCCCAGCATTTGGGAGGCAGAGGCAGGCGGATCTCTGAGTTTAAGGCCAGCCTGGGCTACAGAGTGAGTTCCAGGAAAGGCTCCAAAGCCACACAGAGAAACCTTGTCTCAAAAAACCAAAGTAAGCCGGGCGGTGGTGGCGCACGCCTTTAATCCCAGCACTCGGGAGGCAGAGGCAGGCTGATCTCTGTGAGTTCGAGGCTGGGCTGGACCGATAGCCTCCAAAACAATACAGAGAAACCTTGTCTCGTAAAAACCAAAAAAAAAAAAAAAAAACCAAAAAACAAAACCAAAATAAACAAATGGACTTACTACTGTGTTGCTTCTGAGAGTTGGGCTGGGATGCATACAGGAACAATTGGTGCTTTCTGGCTGCTTAGGAAAGACCACTAGTAAGGAGAAACATGCCGGGTGTCTTCCCCCAATTCAGAGGACAGCCCTGCCTGCTAAGGCTGAATGGACAGAGGCTGCCTTAGGATTTGAGGAATGAAGTTTACCAATTTAGTCTTTTTATCTTTAAGAATTCCAGAGAGCCAGGTAAAATACTGTAACCCCTGACCATATTACTTAAGAGAAACTATTAGGTATGTGGATTGAAACCTGATGTTTGATGGAAGTGAGGAACAAGGGACAGATCATTCTTTGACAGGAACAAGAGGCTGAGTTTGGAAATCCATTGATGCTCGCATTTTTTTGAGTGTAGGATTGTGTCAGCATTCAGGCAAAAGGCCATTGGATAGTGACTGTGTGAGCCACTTTAGTGCTTTGTATTGGGCCTCTTCAGTCCTGGCTAGGTTATAAAGGAAAGGGACAGGTATGAAGTAGGAGGCATGCCAAAATAGGGACGTATTAGAACTACTAAGCCATGGCAGCATGTGATTGTGTCATGATAAGTGACAGGACAAGAGGGAGCTGTGTGCTAAAAGATTGTACTGTGGTAAGTTTGCCATGTATTAATTCCATTCTTGTAACAGCTGTAGAAGGTAGTATCATTCTCATCACAGGTGAAGATGATGAGGCACCAAGGGGCTAAGTCACTTCACCAAGACCATAGGCAGAACTCATATTGAAGAACAGGCATGGAGTGGAGTTGGTCCAAGATTGTTTGTATGTGCTGCACGTAGCAGAGCTGGAGGGGTAGGGATGCCCAAGAAGCCTAGTTGATGCCACCCAGACTTCCAGATGCCAGATAGTCATAGAACTGGTTTTGCTTTGGAATGGTATTTTCTCGTTATGGAATGTTTACACTGTGTCATTATATATTGGAAGTGCATAACCTGTCTTGATTTATGAGTTCATAGAGTACCTTGAGTCTCAGAAGAGACCGTGGATTTTGGAACAGTGTTGGGACTGTTAAAGACTGGGAGAAAACCAGTCATGAACCAGGGTAAAGCTCATTGGTGCTTGTGAGATTACCAGTAGCTTCAAACTCAGGGTGAAGAACTAGATTTCAATCCAGTTTAGGTCCACAAGCTCTCTGAAAGTTCCTTATCTTACAATAGCTTCAGTGAAAGATGCAGACCCAGAGTAGGGTGCTGGCACTTAGGGAGTTCCAGAACTCACAGAAAAACTGAAGATCCATGCAGGAGGCACCAGGAGAAAAAGGACAATACCTGAACCAAATAGGAAGACTTGAAATAGAGTCTCTGGTGCCAAAACCAACCCCACAAAGGGAAATGTCACCTCAACTTTACTATAACTTAAGTTCTCTCTCAAGCATTATAAATGTCATCACTTAAGAATAAAGGAGATTTGAATATAAAACAACAACAAAAATACAAAAGAAATAAAAATTGAACCAATGTATTAATTCCATATGGGCAAATCCCAGCACAGAAACAAAAACATGAAAAACCAAGTGGTCGTTGGTGGCACATGCCTTTAATCCCAGCACTTGGGAGGCAGAGACAGGCGGATCTCTAAGTTCAAGACCAGCCTGGTCTACAGATGGAATTACAGGACAGGCTCCAAAGCTAAAGAGAAAACAAAACAAAAATCAAATAGGTAGGATGAAAATAAGCTCCTGACAGCATATTTTAGCTAGAACACAAAAACATACAAAAGATAGGGGGCAAATCACCTATAAAGGCAGGCCCACCAGAATAACACAACTATTTTGTAGATATTTTAAAGACAAAAGGGCCTAAAAATGTATTCTGAAATACAGAACACAACTGTAAAAGTAGACTATTATATCCAGCAAAACTGTCTATTAAAACTGAAGGAGATGGTAAAAACTTTCCATGTTTTTATGACTACTAAGGCAGTTCTACCGAAGAGAATGGAAGAAATAATTTTGTCTCAAGAAGTGTCAAAATGACAAAGGTATCATAGACAAAATAATCACAAGAGGTAAAAGCAAACACAAAATCAACAGACTGACAAGTCAATATACTTTCAATAATAACTGAATATTAGTAATCTTAATTAAGACTGGAGTAGAAGACAGGATTCATCTTTATGCTGCCGTCAACAAATACATAAGACAGACGCTACCTTAATGTAAAGGATGGGAAAAGGTATTCCAAGCAAATGGAACTAAGAAACAAGTAGGCATAGCCATCCTTATAGCTGACAAAATCAGAACTTCAAACCAAAAGAAGAGGAGATAGGAAGGGGACTTCATACTGATCAATAGAACATCTATCAAGAGGATATTAAGCTGGGCATAGTGGCACATCCCTTTAATCCTCAATAAAATACAAACTGAATTCACCATCACATTGAAGAGCATTTATCATGACCTTAACTTTAACTATTCCAACCATGCAGGGATGATTTAACATACATAAATGTAATCCATAACATAAATGGACCAAAAAAATCCATCAGAAATCACATGATAAACAGAAAAAAATCCTTTGACAATATCCAACATCCTTTCAAGATGAGAATTATGGAAAGGCTTGACCCAGAGGAAACATACCTCAATAAAATAAAGACTATATACAACAAACTTACAGCTAACATACTAAATAGAGAAAAGGCATCAGGAATAAGAGTTTCCATTCCTTTCATTTCTATTCCATACAGTGCTTTAAACACAGAATAATACAAAAAGAGAAGGGATATCAGTAGGAAAAGGGTCACTGACGAAGTCAAAAAGGAAATTAAAACAAAAAAGTTCACCCAACCGAGTGAAAATTAAAACCAAATCTATGGGACACACAAAAAAAGATTCCTGCCAGGTGATGGCGTTGTACACCCTTAATCCCAGTTCTTGGGAGGCAGAGGCAGGCAGATTTCTGTGAGTTTGAAGCCAGCCTGATCTATAGAGTGAGTTCTAGGTTGCTACACAAAGCAACCCTGTCTCAAAAACAAAAAACAAAAAACCAAGAAAAGGGCAGGGAGAGAGGAGAGAGGGGGGAGAGAGAGATTTATAGTGGCAAATGTCTTTATCTCTTTATCAAAATATTTTGAGAGCTCTTAAAATAAATTGATACACCTTAAAGCCTTAGGAAAAAAAGAAGGAACCAAACCACAAGAATAGAGGGGAAGAAATAATCAGAAGCAGGGCAGAAACAATTTTTAAAAATTACAAAGAATCAATGAAATGAAGGGGGGAGTCCTTTGAAAAAAATAGAATTGACAAACCCTTTAAAAAGAGAAGATACAAACTAATAAAAATGAAATGTACTAGGGCAATATTAATAAAAAAAGCATGATACTTGCACAAAAACAAACACATAGATCAACGGGATAGAGTTGAAGGCCCAGATATAAGTTCAAGCAAGTACAGTTGACCAGAATTTTTACAAAGATACCAAAAATATACATCAGAGAAAGACCAACAACCAACAAATGAGATCTCATCGAACTAAAGAAACTCTATGGCCTATAGAATGGGAAAAAAATCTTTGTCAGCTATACACCCCAAAAAGGATTATTAGTGTGTAGAATATATGAAGAACTAAAAGCTAAACATGGCAGGTGTGGTGGCACAAGCTTTTAATGCAGAACTTTTTTTTTTTTTGGTTTTTCGAGACAGGGTTTCTCTGTGGCTTTGGAGGCTGTCCTGGAACTCGCTTGGTAGTCCAGGCTGGTCTCGAATTTACAGAGATCCGCCTGCCTCTGCCTCCCGAGTGCTGGGATTAAAGGCGTGCGCCACCACCACCCGGCTTCAACTCGTTTTTTTTGGAGACAGGTTTCTCTGTATTGTTTTGGAGGTTGTCCTGGAACTCGCTCTGTAGACTGGCCTCAAACTCACAGAGATCCCCCTGCCTCTGCCTCCTGAGTGCTGGGATTGAGGTGTGAGCCACCAACGCCCGACAATCAACTCTTGTCTTGCATGCATGAGATCTTGGCTTCCATTCCCAGTGCATGTGTATGTATGCATGCATGTGAACCATTTTGGCTACCAATTCAGGTGCTTTTTATCCCCTACCTTTTCCAGATCTCCAGTTCCACAATTTCTGCAGTAGACTATAGGTCACTTCTTTCACTCTTCACTTTTCCTCTCAGCTATCCACTTTTAAACTGTTTATACACAAGTCATAAATTCACCAATTTCTTCTGTGGATAGCTCTACCTAGGGTATTTTTCATCTTTTTTTTTTTAGAAGTTTCATTTTTAAACTTTTTCTTCCTTTACAATGTCTTTTTTGTTTTGCAAGACAGGTTTTCTCTGTGTAGCTTTGGAGCTCCCTAGACCAAGGCTGGCCTTAGAACACAAGAGATCTGCCCGCCTCTGCCTCCCGAGTGCTGAGATTAAAGGTGTGCATCACTTTGCCTAACTTATAATTGGCATTTTAAACTTCTTGACTGTAAACTCGTCATCTACCCCTTTGGGTTTCTTCAGATAGGAATTTCTATGAAACCTATATCTTTTTTTTTGATTTTGACATAAACTGAGAAAATCTGACTGGGTGCCAACATTGAATTTTACTTGACTAAGATGGAAAATGTTTGAGGTAAATTTGGCGAATTTGATCC